AATTGTTTCTAGCCCGAAAAATCATGGCACTCGGAAAAGTCAAAGTTTTTTTTTGGACCATTTTTTGAAACTTTTTGACTTTTCCCGAGATCTACTCTTCCCAACCTGAGTTTTTAGGCTCAACTGAAATTACATGTAGAGCGAATTTCTTCTGCATAAACGGACGGCTACTCGCAAACTTTTGGAAACAAAAAGTTACGTTTCTCGGAAGAAACCTGCCAAATCTGATATCATAGCTTTAATTGACGCAAAAGTGACACTTTTGAAAACTCGACCGTTTTTGGAAGTTTTGTGACTTTACTCAAAAATTATTGGGTCAATTCTTATATTGCATTTCATCGAGAAACCCAATTTTGGGAACTTTTACCGACAAACTTGATTTTAGCAGATAAAAGTTACTGATTTCGGAAAGTCTACTTCTTGAATCTTGACCATCTCTTAGAATTTTTTAAATTTTTATTAAAAACTACCCAATCAAATCTGAGTTGAAAATTTCAATCGAAAAAAAAGTTGCGTAAGTTTTTTTCTGCAGAAGCGGCTACTTCTTTTTGGTAATAGAAGTTTTATGTTTCTAGGAAAATTCCAAAATATCAAAGTTTCATTCTTCTCAATTAATTGAGTAGAGAAACAGCTTAGGTTGTGGGCAAAGTTCAACTTGTGAAATTACACATTTCGTACCGCAAGAGCACAACAAATTCAAAAAAAATCTCGAACGCGTGCATCCAGCTTTAGTTGAGCCCCAAGTGTCTTTCATCGAGTTATGGAAAAAATTTGTTTAATTTAGTTTTTACGACATTTTAAATTGTTTTTCATGTTTTATGACTGTGTTGTATTGCAAGTAATGCGAATTTCCGCTTCGTCTCTGTGTGCAAAATCAGAGCTGTTCACTTTTTAGATACCCCCAACAGGTCTGGTCATGAACCAAATAGCCCTTAGCATTATTGAAAGTGGTGGAACTACATACAGTTTTTCAATAGACATGATCAAATCTGAGTCAGAGTTGGTCAGCTTTGAATCATATATGATCATAGATGGAATAATTTATTGACTAATAAAATATCAGCACAAAAGTTTTACAAGAATAGTTTTTACAAGGTAAGGTATTAAGACCATCTTTAGTTGAAATTGGCCAACTAACCCGTATATAAATCTTTTTTTTTAAATTAAAAACCAAAGAATCAGATTCAGACGAAACAAAAAATCAGTTTGTTTCGAGAAAAAGTTGAAAACAATTTTTGAAACCTTCAAAAAATTATAATTGCCTCAATCAATTTCGGCATTTTTTGGCTCAGAAAATAACGTTTTTATGGGTGGCATTTTGATTCACGTGCAGATGATGAGAGACAGTCGAAAGGATATCTTACCCACAAAACACTAAGCGTCTTTCAAACTTCCAGACTTTTCAAAAATTCGGAAGCAATTTTGACCCTGCGTTTTTTCTTTAAGTCACTTTGTTATATACATCAGGTTCTTAGAATTAGGATATATAGTGTAATACCTTCTAGAAGTCATTTGAATTGTATGTAGGACTCCAAAAAGCGTGTTAAGAAACGGCAATTTTGCCAATACATTTTGCCAGGAAAATTGCTAATTTGTCCATGTTCTGGAGTAAATTATTCGCGCTTCGAAGATTTTTTTTCAAAATACAGAGAGCGTAACGTTTATTATGCGCGATGAACTTACTCGCACCATAAATCGTTCCAAACTGAAATGAGGCTAGCTAATCGGTCGCATTAATTTCTTGCGACTCAAATTTTCACAATTGATCTTAGATATTTTCCAAAACTTATAGATTTTTATCATTTCCACTTCCCAAAAACAAATCGACATTGATTAAGGTGCAGTCGGAAAATTCATTGTTTGCCTTGGTATACGAGTCTTGTTTTGATATCAGCTACGTATTTTCGGATTAGGTGCTGCTCGATAAATTGTACTTAGTTATGATTTAACGCTAACAATCATGCTTTTCAGGAACGTTATCGAGATAAACACAATTTTTTTTCGACTTTATAGCATTTGTTTTCAGGCCGTGCTCTTTTTGCGTTAGTTATATCTCAAACGGTGTTGCATCGCCTCTGTAGTAATTATGCTCAAGTGGTGTTGTACGTCATTATATCGCAAGTGGTGTTGTAACGCTTCTGCAGTTGTTCTCCGCAATGGGACTCCTAATTGTTTTCCGTGCTCAAATCAATATCAAAGTATTTTGAAGTTTTCCATAAATTGGGGCAGTATACCAGAGCCGAAGTACAGCAGTGCCGATAAGAAGTTCGACTGGGCCAAAAACTATTTTGAATACAGTTTTTTTACAGATGCCAAATCACTGACAAGTAAAATAATTTATATCGACGAAAATTGAAAAATCAAAAATGGCAGTTTTGGTTGATGCCGCTTGCTAAACAAAAAAGTTCGCCAAGCACGGCGTCATTCGGTTTTTTGAACAAACAATTAACTCAGGAAGATTGTCAAATTTCCTTCTTGGTTTCGCTCCAAAAAACAGTATGCAAACAAATTGTCAACAATTCGCAACCGAAATCGAATATCCTCAATATTTGTCACTGTTGAACACCTTTTCAGTTTCGGCACTGTTTTGCTTCGGCAGTGTTGAACGCCTTCAAAAATTTTGAAAGAAAAGTTAAGCAAATTGAATCGTTTTCTAGCAACTTTTAATTGCCTTGTTCACGCACCGATTGCTGTGGTTGGGTTATTCTGTACTTTTCACAAAACAAAACGGTACTCTTTTTTTTGATGCATGATAGCTTAGGAAAATTAAAATGTTTAATATTTTTGCGTCTAGAAAACATAGACAAGACTGCCTGCTCGTATCAGGACAAAGCCCTGAATATTCGTACTACCTTTTAAGGTATATGGAGCAGTGATAACATGAAAAAAATTGTAATAAAAATAAAATGAACTAAAAAAACGTTTTTTTTTAATGTAAAAATCATCCCAACTCACGCCAGATAAAGTACGAAGTGATAAATTTTGCTCCTAGTAAAAAATCAATTATGGCAAGTAAGCTTCTTTCACCCAAATTGGAACGATTTCTTACGCGTTAATAGCGCGAAATATATCGCGCGTTAATTGTCCCAAGTTGGCCTAAATTGCAATCTTTAAACCCCCATAACCCGGAAAAAAATATGTTGACGTCAATTCACCATATTGGTGTTAATGTAAGTGAAGCTGATTCCAAATACTTTCGATCTTATTTTCAAGCGAAATTATTAAAATTTTTAAATTTATGGAGTGATTTAGATATACTTTTTGGAACCATTTTCGAGGTTTTTTAACATATGTATGTTTATGTTTCGCAATTGTGTCCGCAACAGATGGAAACTTTTGCAGAAACCTTTTTTCCAATGGTGATGTTAGATAAAGAAAATAGAGGTCAAGTTAGTTTTTTTTATACACGGCATGGTTTTTTTTCGAAGTTTGATCACTTATTGACGCCAGAATTGATTTAAAGGGCCAAACCTTGCTTCCAGGAAGCATTGAAACGTCTTTTTCAGAGTTGAATCTGAAAACAAAAATAAATTATTGTGCTTTCAGTCCACAAAACTCCTTAAAAAATTGAAAATAAAGCCGTGTATCTGCTAGCCAATTTTGTTCTCTAGGGTTTCAGTTTTCCGCCTATTTCGTTTCAGTGCTCGCATAGCTCGCAGATGACTATGTTAAATCTATTTTTTTTTCTCAGAAAATGGATTAATCAGTTTTAGCTCAATTTGAATTTACGCAAAAAAATTGAGTAACAAAAGTTCACTTGATCACAAAATTTCGGTGTAGCGGTGATTTTTGGTCTGATTTGGAAAGTTAATCAGAAAATTCCTTCATACACAAGAAATAGGGAGAAAAAAATAGAATTGTGTAGTTGGTAGAAATTACATGTTCTATAGCATAGGAAAACAAAAAAGGTGATGGTTGTTTCAATTCTTTTTCAACATGGTACAATTTCGCCTCTGAGGTTTTCAAGCGGGAATAGCGAGGCTGTGTGTGTGTGTTTGCACTTAGGGATCGAGTGTCCAAGCCCAATAATCAATCAATACTATCAAATAAACACCGTACAATACAGTGCAATAAGATCTCCATTGCAGTAGTACATCTTTTCAAAGAAGGACACAACAACACTCGATGGATATTTTTGCATAATTTAGTCGATTTACTAATTGACTCAATTTGATTATGCGTTCTATTATGATATCAAGTATAGATGATTATATATCAAATTAACATACCCCCCTTCCGCGCGCGCGCTAACTTGGTCCATAATTTTTTTTAAATAATGCTTTCAATTAACACTAAGAACTGTATTTTTAAAAGCCAAACAGATGCTAAGGAAGTTGGATATTTAATCATTCAAGTTCTTGTGCTTTCAGGTCTTTTGCACTCTTAACCTGTACTTTTATTTTCAAAAATGAAATGATTAAGAGCTTTGTAGTAAGTTTTTACAAGAATTTCTATGGATAATGCACTTTTAAGACACACTTGCACCAATTCCCGAATCTCTCAACCAGATTTGATAGAAAAAGAGGAGAGGGCGTTAGAGCAAGAGACCCTTGATGACCCTTGACTGGCCGGCTTTATTTGTTCATACCCGGTCAGGACGGAAACGCAATCCACGCCAGCACACCTTAGAATATAGTAAAAGATTTTATTATTGCATTCGCATTCATATACATACCAACACATCATGGTGTTATATGATGACAGAGGAAAATGAATCGTTGCGCTAGCAGAAAAACATTATCGACAAGACTTAAAACTTAGAGAGCTAAAATGAAAAAGGAAACATTATAAATAAAATTGAAATTTAAACAAAAAAGCATAAAAAGATGAACTGTAAGAAATGAAAACTTCCGTTACAAGCAAAAAATGATGAGCGTTTTTTACTTATTTTGGACTAGGACAAAAAATAAATATATAAAAAAGAAGAAATCCAACTTAGCTTGAACAAAAATGAAACAAGCAAAAAGCGCTCAAATATTTATTAAAAGAGCATAGTTACAAAGTACTTAAACTTTTCTGCTCATGGACCGTCTGCTCAGCGGCCCGTCTGTCTTCCGTCGTTTTTAACTGTGAAGCAGCAGTGTTGGCTGCAGATAGTGTTTAATGAGGGTTAATTTGCTGCCATATCTGTTCAAAGGACCCGCTGGGAGCCCTATACCAAGCAACACTGCTTACTATGGCATCAAAATGATGATGGTATTAATGGTAAGGTCAAAATGATAGATAGCATTACGGATGCCAACAACTGGAAATAATAATGGCATTGGATACCTGACACTAATCTCTGTCACAACTGAAAGCTCTCCCCTCAAACAGTCCCTGAGCAAGTGGATAATTGGTAATAAAACATCATTATCAGATTTTTTAAAACACAATGCACATTTAGACTTCTAATCTGTTTTATACTTCTTTTACTAGGGGCGTTTTTACCAATTGAAGACAAAAAATACAAGGAAAAATGCAACCAACCAAATTTGAGAGGATGAAACAAAATAAAGGAGGAAAAATCTCATTATTTTCTCCATAATCTGAATGCATATGCAATTTGAAGCGTATTTTTTAATTTTTTGCGTCTAAGTTTAAAGTACAGTCTTGAGGCATTTAATTTTCTTCGTCTTTATTCCTCAATTTTTGCATCGGACCATTCATTTTTACCCCTGTGTTCGTCTTTTTTCTCTTTTTTTTTGTTCTTGTGGTTTCTTTCGTCTCATCGTTTGCCCCGTTACCTATTTTTGGTGCTTGTTCACACTTTCTGTCTGTGAACAATATTCAGTTCAGTCCTTGATTTTTTCTCTCTTTCTTCAGCTGTTCTCGCTTTGATTTGAACTTGATTGATATCTGATCAAAGTAATCATATTCCCTTCTTTACAAAGAACCCAGAGCCCGAAGTGATCGCAAATATTACCAATCCCCCTCCTCCCCCTCAATTGCCAAAGACATTTTGATTCAAAGAAAAATATTGTCGCCCCAAAACTCAGCTCCATATTTATTAACAATTACTGGCTATGAGCTGACATTTTTGCATCATACTTCAAAAGTTTTCATCTTTCTTGTAGTCACGTTTTCAGTTATTTCTTCATTTTGTGCTAATTATGGCTCAACGGCTCAATATTTTATATTAAAAAGTAACATACCAATATCAGCCAACCATTCGGCATTCAGCTGTAAAAATTGAAATAAAACTCCTTATCACTGTTCCAACAATTTTCAGCTGTAACATAAAATACCTATAAATATGAGATCTCTATTATTATTTATAATTTTGCATGTTTTAAAATAACACATATTTATTCTACTTGTTGCCATATATTTCCTATCTGATGTTTATATTATTAAGCGCCACATCTTTCAATCATGCCTTCTTTAAGTTATGGACAGCGAGATCGAACCATTGTCAGTTTCAAAGATTTGGCATTTTAAATGATAACAAAGTCTTGCAAGACATGTAAAACGTTCTCAAGTTTCCTTATGGCCTTGTTGACAAGAACACGCCTCGCATTTCACCGCCCGACCCAATTGACCCCATTGAAACTGACAGAGTATTGGACCCTGTTTTCATACAATTTGCCCATTCTGTTTTTCTGTTCTTTCAACTTCATCCCTCCTTACTCTTTTTTTCTCTCTTTCAATATATTAGTCTCTCTTTTTTTATCTACTCTGATTACTGATTAATTCATGAGCTGCAAATGGACTTTGTTATCGTGGAGGTAAGTAATAACAGTAATATCACTAAAAAACCTTTAAAAAACTTAAAAACCAAATGTGGTTTGTAGCTCTCAAGTGTATAAGTTTGTTGGTCAAAATTTTTTTTACACAGTTAGGAAAAACCAGCTGTTGGGTAGATAACACCGATTGTTCCGAACACCATCAGTAGCGAAACAGGAAAAAAAACACTGCAAAAAAATTTTTTTTTCGGTGACAGGATAGGAGACGGACAGGGAGAGCTTTAGTCTCTAAGAACAGAACTAAATACCCACAGCTCAACTAATACTGCTTTACTAGCTTTGAAGATGAAAACACATGAAACTTAAAAAATGTCGGTCTGAAAAGCAAAATTAATCGGCAACATTTTTTTCTCGAAACCGCAAAAATTTCGAATTTATTGATTGCACATGATATCCTGATTTGAGGGAATATATACACACATATTAATTTTCAGCTGAAGACATTTTTTTTTCAAGTCATAATCATTAAAACAGTATCACAAGCCTGAAACATGAAACATATACACCATTTTTAATAGAATTTGACAACACTCGAATGCAGGGGCGGATCTAGGATTTTCTCGAGGGGGGGGGGGCGGAATGTCAAAAAAATGTTTAAAATTTTGTCGACATTTTTTTCAAGTCAACCAAATTGATATTCTGATCTCTCCCAAAGCACTACAAAGACCTTGTTTCGACCAAAATTTCTGCGCCGCAGGCAAAGTTTTGAAAAAACAGGCCAAAAAAAAGTTTTCAGGCACTTTTTGGAAAACGTTTACCAAAAAATCGCGTTTTTTTCGGCGCGCGCTCCCCCCTCAAAATTATTATATTTTGGCGCCAAAGGCGCCATTAGAAAAGTTTTAGGGTCCGTCGCCAAAAATGGATATCTCAAATTAGTTTAAAGGGGGGACCCTTTGGTTCGGCAGGGGGTCGAATCGCTGAGGAAAAAAGGCATCCGCCCCCCCCCCCCCCAAATCCGCCCCTGCTCGTATGACTCGGTGAGTTCACACTATTCTAAAAAAATTGAACAGACTTTGTATAGTTAGTTATTGTTTTGCTCATATACTTCCTTCAATCATATTTCACACATCCAAGGAAATTGAGCCAAATGTTTTTGTTAGTTTTTTGACAACGGAAGAACAGAAAAATTTTAGAAAGTTTTTGCTTCTTCAAAATCATCAAATACTAATTTTGGTAGTACTTTTTCCGACCTTTGAAGACAAGTTGGAATGTTTGCTCGTTCTGACGGTTTTTTAAGCTGACAAGATTCGTTTTTTAACCAAAAATGTTTACTTTTTATACAAACTGGAAAGCATCATATAATTGAGCTCAAAAAAATTTCGATTTTCACCCGTGTTCAATTTGTGTCACACCACAGGGAGCTAAAATGCCATTTAGGCCTAATTGAATTAGCTAATTTGCAAAACAACTGTTTTAAAACCCGTAGTTTATGCGGCAATTTACTAAGGCTTTTAAACCACTAAAATTAATTTGAGGGTTGCTAGTTGATTCACATATTGCATTAGTAAACGCAGAGGTTGAAGTTTCAAAAAATTCATTTTGTTTTAATTGCGCATGGTGTGAAGTTTGACAAATCCATTTTGATTGAAAAATTGATAATTTTTTGGAAAATTCAGTCGACACAGTCGGAAAATTCAGTGCTGCGCTCGTGATTTGTTCAAAGCATAAAAACTTTTCTTTTAAAGTCATGCCTGAATATTGCTTTTGGGGTAATAATCAGGATTCAAATCAAAATCACCGACTTACAGAGACTTAAAAAAAGAGGAGCACTTATTTTTTGATTTCACTAAATTTTAAAAGCGAGATAACTGATCAGGTATCATAGCCCATTTGATCTTTTGTATATCGTTCCGGCTTTCGAAGAAAACGGAATAATTTTGTTCGGTGTGGTTTTTTTTGTTCAGCTAATTTTCACCGATCAAAATAATAATTTTCGACAAAATTTTTTATACCCCTTTGAAGATATCAACTTCTTGACTTCAAATAGAAAAAGATATGTTACCTCCGATAATTTTTTGTAAAGTCCTGGGGTGTTGAAAATTGCCAAATTTGCCATATTCTGGGCTAAATGATGCGCGCTTTAAATAGTTAATTCATAATGCTGAGAGCGTAACGCTAATTATTTATGCGTGGCGAACTATCCCGCACAACAAAATCGTTCCAAATTGCATTGAGGCTAGCTAATTGGTCGTATTAGTTTTGCACTACTCAAAATTTTACACAGAGATTTTTTTCAAAATGTATAGGTTTTCAAAAATTTTTAAGGATATATTTTTTTTCGATATACTTTGAAAGCCCGGTATTTCTGCAATGATGGCACTCGACTAATTTTTTCAATTCATCGGAGAAAGCTCTGCCGATTTCGGTGTAGTTCAATGCACTGATTCTTTTGTGATGGGTGTTTTTTTGGCTCATAATCTGAAAGTCAGATTATTCATGCTTGTTTAAATGATGATACCAGATTCACCTTTGTTGGATGAAATAAAAATCCATTTCGAATGAGCTCAGTTTTTTGATAAGTTTTTTCTACCATTTTTAAAAGCCCGAGTTAAAAGCCCGGATATACTTTTTTATATTTTAACTTTCATACTTTTTTCGATATAAATTAAGGGACAGTCGGAGCATTCAGGGCATAAATAACTATAAATAAACCATAAATAAACGCTCAAGATTGTTTTATTAATTTCATACACCACCCAAATTTTAACACTTAAGAATTGCAATTATCAACCTTGAAATCATCAATACTCCATGAGCGAAAAACTAATAGAAACCAGTTATTGGGCAGTCGAAACACCAGTGCTTTTGCACTGATACGAGCAATGAACAGTAGTTTTGTTAAAATAGATGAGCGCTTACAATTTTTTTCCGTATTTTTCGCTAAGCTCCAAAACCTTCTTTCTTATTTTGAATGATGCATGTGGCTCTCAAGTGTCCAAAAAATTACTAAGTGGAAATCGCTTGCTAATTAATTTACATGCTTATCGCATTAATTATATACTCTCACGAACAAATCCACTTGTAACTTTTCCGAAAAGCGGGGACGAAAAGTTCAATTAATCTAATAATTAGGCAAAACAAAGAAGAAAAAAAAGTAAAAGGTATTAACCATTAGTTGATATTTAGTGATAAACCTGTTTTATGAATAATTTAGGCTCAAAAAAAGCCTAAAATCAAAGAACTCTTAAGAAAGCAGTTAGCCTAAAAATTGTGCTTTCTTATCTTGATTTTGAAAAAACCAGGGTTGGCAAAATTTAAGTTCAAAACAAAAATAACAAACTAACTGTTATATATCGAAAAAAAACATGTTATTTTTGTAAAATTGTTAATTAAATTAACATATCAACAAAAGTTGAGTTTTTTGAACAAAAACGCCAACTTTCCGGCTTTCTCAGCTTTATCGTTTCGGAACAAGCATCGCATTTTCCTCTCACGACCCCGTCCACTTTCACCTCTTTGTAATGACACCATAAATCACTCTTTCTTCTTCCCATGGCAGCTTTCGTTAACGCTAGCAATTTTGAATCTGAAATGCAGTATAGTTGGGTTGTGTTTTTCTAAGAATTACTCATATTTTTAACAAATAGATAACATCACTGTTAGAAATTATAAATAACACTGTAAGTTAAATTCAATGTTAAATAACAATGGTAAATAACTTGCCAACCCTGGAAAAAAAACACGAGTTGTTTATTACTGTTTCAATTTATAGTTCCGGTAAGTGAGGAATAATGCCTGGGAGTTTTTATCCCACATGAATTTTACAGCAGTTGACAGATGATGGGTATTGGTAGGAAATCTACTGATTGCCAAGCGAATATGCTTGCACAGGTCAACTTTGTTTGGTCATTTTGTTGCCACTCAACAATTTCGATTTTGGCAGTACACAATTCGTCGTTTATACAAAAACTATTCGAGACTAGTTAAGGCGCAATTTCTGTGCTAAATCTTGATTCATATATTAAGCAGCAGATAAAGCACAAAAACAATAGATTGAGGCAAAGAAGACAAAAATTAGTTCAAAAAATTTGGCGACAGAACTATCTAATAATATTAAATTTAACATCTAATATAATTTCTTGGGGTTGATAAATCTACAATATAAAAAAGTTTTTAGAGGAACGATGTTTTTCGTACTTTTGATTAGATTGAATTAATATCACTCTACCCATTATCGAACTTTTCTATCCCCAAATCAAATCTTTCATGACAAAACCAACTTTCATACTTTTTAATAACTGTTTACAACACCATGTGTTTGACTAGCGTTTATTAATACACTGGAAAGGTAAAACAGGCTGCATGCTGTAAGCGGGGTAGACCCATTATTCCATGAAATGGGAAAAAAATTTTGGGAACTTTGGCCTGATTTTTATATGGTTTTTGTTCAACCTCGAAATATATTTAGTCTACATAATAGCTACCCACAAATTAAAAAGTTTTAAAATTCTCCCAGTAAACTTCGTTATAGTGATCTGTATCTGACTGATGTTGCTGATAGCAAAGCACATATGATACAAAAAAGTTGTTGTTAGAAGCTATTTATCGAAGAAACAGTACGAGAAAAAGCTTCTCATTGATTGTAGCATGGTTATTGATGTTGTTAATTTCTTTTTATCTTCGATACAGAATAATACTAATAATGACAAAGCACTCATCATGCAAAAAAATTATAAATGAACAAGGATAGCCGGCAACTGAGTTACTGTGCAGGTGGCACTGAGTGTTCCGACCATAACCTTTAAAAAATGAAAAAAACGTTTTTTTTTAATTATTGTCAATTTTTTCGACTGGTGTGATAAAGGAGATGAATAAAAAACTGGAGATCCAAAATAATCGACAGTCATGTTAAATTAAGCAAACTGAAAAAACATTTTTTCTAAAAGAAGCTATATAAAAATGAAAAAAATCAATTTATTATTTTTTTTAATTTTGCAATTTTTGAAATTTTTAAGATTTTGATTTCAAAAAGGCGCTAAAAT